TGTTTACTGGCAGCCTCCCTGTACAGCCCAGCAGAAGATCTGAAAAGATTCTGTGGGCCTTGCACCAGCAGAAATGTTGACTGGTAAAATATAAATGTGTTGTTAGTGATGGGGAAAGGAAACTTGTCTTTTGAATATTTTATTGTTACCCCCAAGGATGTCCTTTGGAATTTCTTTTTTACAAAAAAAAAAAATCTTTTCTTCTCCCCCTTTACATTTCTGTATACTCTTTTTCCGTCGCTATTTCTAAGGCTATTTTTTTTCCCCTCTAGGCATATCTTTTCTATGAAGGACCTTGCATAAGGTTTCCTTTAAACTGTTGTACTTCAAAGTTTTCTCTTTCCTTCAAATCTTCCTAGTTGCTATGTGATTCTGCTGTGCAGTTTCTAGGTCTTCCTTTGCTTTGCTGTCCTTTTTCTCTAAAGACACTCCCCCTTGATGAAACTTGCAGTGGTGATAGCATGAAAAATGTCATCTGTATCCTCTTAATACTGAGTGAAAGAGAGAGAGAGAAAGAGCATGCATTTTATAATATAAAAGTTGATTCAATTTCTTTATAGGGTATTTAATTGAACAGGATCATGAAAATAGCATTTGGCCATGTCAGAAGGGTAAATAAATATATTTATGATTTTGCTTTATACATTGTAGCCATACCAAAGGTTATCCACAAAGTGAACAAGTGTTTATTTTTACATCATATCCACAGAACAGTCATTCCAACACACTAGTCATGTCAGGACTTGATTCTGAGAGTTTTAGCCTTTTGGAGCCTGATTTTCAGAAGTGCAGAGCACTCATAGCTCCAGCTGAAGTCAGTGGGAGCTATGGGGGCCCAGCACCTCTTAATAGCGTGTTCTGACTGTTCAGCTGATTAGCAGATAGCACTTTAATGCTGTAACACTCTCTTCAAAATCCTCTTAATCTTCTTCTTTTTTTTTTTTTTTTTAACAAATGCAGTACTTGGCTCACATAATAATGTAAAATGCATGACCCGTGGGTCTGATTCAGCGGGCTTTGGATCAGCCCCTACTTGAACAGAGAAGCCATTTGAGTGTAGGCAGCTCCTTCTCCATGTCTCATGCTGTCACTAACAAACTGTCTAAAAGCTAGCCTCTAAAGACCACGTTAATGCAAAATCTGACTTCATAAATAGAAACAAAAATGGTTAGCAGGGGTGAAAGTAGAAATAGGGACTTACCAGTACGGGGCTGGGCTGGGGCCGGCTCTGGCCCCCGGAAGGGGCGGGGCCTCAGGCGGAAGGAGTGGGGATGGGGGGGTCGGAGCCAGCCCCGGCCTGCCCTGTACCAGTAAGTGCCCTCCCTCTCCCCCGCCGGGGAGCAGCGGGGGCTCCGGCAGCAGTTTAAAGGGCCCAGGGCTCAGCCGCTGCTACCGCCCCAAGCCCTTTAAACCGCTGCCGGAGCCCCCAGCTGCTGCTGCTGCCGCAGGGCTCCGGGGGCTATTTAAAGGGCCCGGGGCTCCCCTGCCTCTACCGCCCTGGGCCCTTTAAATAGCCACCGGATCCCTGGGGTAGCAGCGGCGGCGGGGCTCCGGCAGCAGTTTAAAGGGCCGGGGGGGTAGAGGCAGCGGTAGCCCCGGGCCCTTTAAATAGCCCCCAGAGCCCCGCTGCTACTCCAGGGCTCTGGTGGCTATTTAACGGGCCCAGGGCAGTAGAGACAGCGGGAGCCCCAGCCCTTTAAATAACCCCAGGAGCCCCGCTGCTCCTCATCCAGGTATTTGGACATATTTTGCCACATTTACATTGAGTAGTACCTTACTCCATGAGTAGTTCCATTGATTTCAAGTCTATGCCTGTTGTAAAGTATTAACTCGGCATAAGGAGTGCAGAATCTGGCCCCACTGTATTTATATTGTTGCATTTTTAGGTCAGTCACTGTTTCCAGAGAAGTGGTTGGTGCTGTTTGGTTTTGAGATTGGGTTTTTTGAGGGGGAGGGAGAGTGCGGATGGAGGGTAGGGTTGGCCTTTATTCTTTTAACTGTGGTTTGAATTCCCCTCAGTTTGTAGGTTGTAATAATAATGAAAAAATAGTGAATTGTTTTAATCTCAAGAGCTTGAGTGAATGAGTGGGGCAGAGTAGATTTGCATATTTGGAACATTACTGTCGAACAGTTAATGTGGGAGACCTGCTTTACGTATACAAAGGAAAAATAAAACACTAAAATTATAGCCAGCCGTCCAGGGATGTTTGGTTTCAGGTTCTGTTTCTTTCACGTAGGAGATAGTTTAAGCACAACAATTTTCTGTATGATTTTCTGATATTGCACTCTAGGGGAAGGTCACAATGATTCATCCATTTAATGGATATAATGGAAGCATTCATAGTACTGCAGTTGTTTATAATAAATGGAGCTTTCATTATGCCTTTGGTTTTTGTTTTGTCTTATTTTTTGGTAGTGTCATAAGAAGACTCTTTGGAAATGAAAGAATATCTCACAAAGCCTTTTCAGAATTTAACTTTTTTTTTTTTTTAATACGCCCATTGTTCCAAATGTGGCTAACTTGGTCCCAGAGAGAACTGGATGAACTTGATAACTGGAAGATCTCAGTCACATAGTCTAATGTTGCAACATTCTGTTATGTTACAAATGAGGGGCTTCCCATGTCCCACACTTTGACCCAAGCCTAGAAATGTGAAACACTTAATGCCTGTTGGTGAACACTGAGGGTTAGACCTATAAAGAGATTTAAGCACCTTTAGACACCTAAATCAACAATGTAAACCCTCAGAACCCCTGCACAGCTGCTGCCTAACCCTGTAGGTGAATAAGGTCCTTAGGTGTCTACGTTTCCACCAGTAAAGACCTCTACATTTCTGTTGGTGGGCATGCACAAAGCCACCTAATTCCTGATACCACTGAGCTCTAAACCCTGGCAGGATTCTCAAACTAGGCAATTCCCTGCCTATCTCAACTGCAGGGCCTGCTCTGGCAGAGGTTCCTGGGGGCTGTCTACAGGATTGGGCCCCCTACAGAACAAGGAGTTGCCGCTGTGCCCATTATGCCCAGTAGTCCAATTGTTAGAGCATGAGAAATTGAGGTTTAAATCCCCCCTCTGAGTAATTCAGAACAGGTACTTGAACCCAGGGTCTCCCACATCCCAGGTGAGTGCCCTTATCTTAGTGTTTTATAAAATACTTTATATATGCATTGGGCCAGTGAGAATGACTCTTTAGCCCAGTGGTTAGGGCACTGTCCTGGGAGACCCCAATTCTAGTCTGCTCTAATAACCATACAAATGTTTTATAAAAAAGTGGAATAGCTTCAACAGGAGAGATTGAGAGAGACCCACCCCAGAATAGCCCACTGTCTGATAGCTATGACACACCTGCAATGTGGGAGGCCTGCTTTCAAGACAGGCAGAGTGGGGACTTGAATCTGGGTTTCCACATCCTGAGCAAGCACTCTAAATGCTGGGCTATTGGCTATAAGGAGGTGCCACCACCACTGTTCTTTGCAAAAAAGGGCTGGCTTAGGTGCCTACCATCAGGAGAGGGTTCACAGCTGTGAATCCTGATGGGAGTCAGGCTTCTAACTCCCTTTGAGGGCATAAACATTTCCTTCTGGCTAGCCTAGGTAGCTCTTCAGTGTGATGGCCTCTGTGAATCCCATTCTTAGGCACCTGAGTCTCCCTCTTTACTGTATAAAGAGCCTAGATGCCTCACTTGGGCACAAAACACTGAGCCTAAGTCCCTTTTGTGGATCTAGAGAGGCCCCTGGATCCATATGTAGACACCTGAATAAATGGTCTGATTTTCAGAAGTGTTGGGCTCTTGCAGTTACCATTGACTTCAACTGAAGCAGCTGGGCACTCAGCATTTTGAAATGCATTCCAGGGCTGACACTTGTATATGAAAACCAACACATTATAAACCCTGTTTTATTTATAACTTTCAGTTTTTCGCAATGCTTTATTTTCTGCATTGCAAGATATCCTATTGTAGCTTATTTGTTATTGAACAAAGTATCAAATTAGAAGACATAAAATATACATAACAGTATCCACAAGGTTGCTATGTAGAATCCTGGTTTGAAAGTAAAATGATGCACAGAATAAAAATATTCAGTAAACTGCATTTTCTCTTTGTAAAAGTCACGACTATCAATGCCTATCTCGCACATTGTGCATGCTTCACTGACTGCGCAGAATAACAAGACTGAGCGAGCCTAGGGTGTATCATAAGGGCTAATGTTGGTCCTCAATATCAGGAGCTCTTCATGTATACCTAAAAGAAGAATTTTGACCCAAAGTGTAAGTGCAACAGGGCTTCCTTCTTCCAAATGGTTTGGAACTACAGTCTGATTAATCACTTTGGGGGGAAAGGTAACGGGTAAATTGAGCCCCTATGACTGTTTTGTTTTGTTTTTATCATTGTGCAAGTATACATGCTGGATGCACCAGAAGATGTGGGAAAGAATGACCAAATTGAATTTGCTTCTTATTATTCACAATAGAGAAGATTCTCCTAAATCTGGAGTTGGACAGGTACACAATTCTGGGTACTAAAAAAACGTTCTGACCCAAAATATAGCAAAGACCAGAACAATGCAGATGGAAACATTCCATGCCAGCACCTTGGGATGCCCTTGGAATTATTATGGGAAATTGACCTTTTTCTAAAGAGAAAAGAATAGTGATTTTCCTTCTAGGGGAACAACTGCATAATGGGGTGGAGGAGAAACTGTCCTGCACAATATTTAAAAGTCATTTATGCCTGCCCTGGAATGAGACAATTTAACATACAGTAAATCAGGAGAATGACCTGGCTCAATGTTCTAGGTGACTTTGAATTAACTGTCTCATTTTGTGTGTGTCTGGGATCTTCATGTTTGTTTAGATGCTGTGATGGGTTGATTTCTGTGGTATTTCCAATAATCAATACGCATTTTTGTTTAAAATGAGGAACGCTGAAGAGGAAAGGATTTCTTTCTTTAAACTGCCTTTGGCTGAAGCTGACTGCATATTTCCTCTTACATTGCAGAGGCACAGCAATAGCAGGGATTGTATTTGGTATCGTATTTATAATGGGAGTGATTGCCGGCATCGCCATCTGTATCTGCATGTGCATGAAGAACAACCGTGGGACTCGAGTAGGGGTCATCAGAACTACGCACATCAACACCATCAGCACCTATCCGGGTGAGGATGCTAAGTTACTCCTTCATAAGATTGCCAAAGAATTCCATAGGAAATGTTCATAATAGAGCTATATTCTTTAATCATTATGATTTCATAGCAGTGGCAATTTTAGTGGGGGTTCATGGAGTCAATTTTACCCACAGAAATCATGAACCCCCCACTAATGCCGCAAACCTGAGTGGTGCTGCAACCCTGGCCACCCCATTGCAACACCCAGAACAGGGAGCCAAGCCCATCCCCCCAGGACCGCCACTACAGGTTGAGTGTGGACCAGGCTCACACTCCAACACCTCCCTCCCCATCTTCAGGCCTCCTCTGCAGGCCAGGATTAGGGGTGTTGTGGTCGCAGGTGGTCGGTGCCCCTCTTGACTACAATAAGAAGAGTTTAGTTAAGTGCAGCCATTGAATGGGGAGATTACATCCACTCTTGGTTCATAGTAAGTAAAATAAAGATGTCAACAAAGGACAGCTGTTCCCAATAACTGAGGGCATGTCTACGCTGCAATTAAAACTGGCCTGTGCCAATGGACCCGGGCTCGCGGGGCTGTTTAATTGCAGTGCAGACATTCGGATTCGAGCTGCAGCCCGAGCTCTTGTACCCTTCCACCTTGCAAGGTCCCATGGCCAGGCTCCAGCCTGAGCTCAAATGTCTACACTACAACTAAACAGCCCCACGAGCCTGAGTCATTTAGCACAGGCCAGCCATGGGAATCCAATTGCAGTGTAGACATACCCTAAGATACTTTAAAAAATACTCCAGAGCAGTGTAAAGTGCACCCTGCCATCCCATCAAATGTTCAGGAGTTGGGTGGGTGTGGTTTCAGTGCTTGGGGAAG